AATGATAGTGAGTTGACAATCTCATAAGTTATCAGTCACACCACTTTGAATTTCCTTTTCCTTTCCTCATGCTTTGCATTATCATTTCAGCTTAGTCACACTATTTATGTTTTTCTTTTCCCTTTTTCTCTACTCAACTCTTTTTTTTAGAATAACAATACCGGTAGGAAAAATAATATCATTCATAATCATTTCATTTCTCAAATATAAGAAGGTGGATAAACATTGTTTAGGCTCAGAGGTTCTGTTTCAAGAAACAATCTTGTTTTTGACTAAAATGAGGTTCAAATGAATTTCTTATAATTAATGCAAGATTGACTATTTGGCTCTGGGTTATATCTACTTTTAGTACACAAGAACAAATATTTTTATCATTTTCAAGTCTCGCTAACATGCAATCACATATGTAGCTCCATGTAGCTACCTGTTGGATGTCAAGTGCTCCTTGTAGCTCAAATCCATGATTTGGGCACCTCCTCAACAGTGATTTAAATCTCTCCCATGATTCACAAAAAGGTTCATCTGCTCCTTGTCTGAAAGTAGAAATGTCAGATTTTGCCTTGATGTAGCGGGATGGTGGAAAAAAATCTGTTCAGGAACTTCTCTTCTATATTACCCCAGCTAGTCAAACTCTGATTAGGATGTGTTTTCAACCACTCATTTGCCTTGCCAGCTAATGAAAAAGGAAACAATCTCAAGTATGCAAATTCAATATCTCCTTCTTTAAATCCCATGGTGTCAATCAACTCATAAAAAGTGGACAAATGAATATAGGGATCTTCATGATCCATTTCAGTGAATTGATGAACACTAATCAAGCTTGAGAATGCTGACTTCATCTCTAAAGATTAGTTGGCTGGTATTGTAATGTTGGAAAAATGTCTCGGACCTTGACCTTGTTGTATAGCATAGTCTCCAAGTGTTCTTCTAGGTGGATTTGGATTCAGATTCTCACTTTCACCCTCCATGTCTCCTATGATTGGTTCTTGTAAGTTGAGTGTGGGAGAAGAATTGACTAATTCTCCTGTTGCTTATTCTTGAGTTTCTCTTCTTCTTCTACCCCGATTCCTCCGAGCAACTCTTTCAATCTCGGGATCAAATTCTAACTAATATGTAGATATTTGTCCTCTTAAAAACATAAATCAAAGAGCAACTCAAATAAGAATTAGCACAGGACAATAATAATAATAATAATAATAATAATAATAATAATAAAAATAAGCTAGACAAAGAAATTCCAAGGAACACTTTTCCCTGAGCAATGGCGCCGAAATACTTTTTGAATAATTGGCAAGCGCACCAATATGGAGTTTCCAATGAAACCATTAAGTGGATTAAAACAAAACTGGTTTTTCATAAAGATTTAGGTTGGAAATAAATGATAAAGAACTGTAATATGTTTTTAGAAAATATCAAATAAAATAACTTAGGATTGATTTCATTCTCTTTTCCCTCTTTTGTATGATGGCTAGGTCAAATTAAGAATGTCAATTAACATATCAATGTTGATGTCACCTACTTAAATCATTCACATTGATTCCTAGCACATGAAATTCATAAGAAAACCTAATAAATGTCGATTCCTCATATATTTAATAGATTTTCCAGCATTAGGTTTAGGGTGTTAAACAATTGATACATCAATTCTATTCCTAGCAATTAATGTAGCAAATATTCTTAACCTGATCTAGGGTTTTAAGATATATTTTCCAATACATTCAAAACATCAAAGATGAACATTAAAGAGCACAAATGATAAGAATATCAACATAAAAAACATAGATTAATATCTCAAAATATCACCAAGATATGAAAGAGTTTAAAGGAAGTGCACCCAATCATAAGAGAATGAAGTTAGTCACTCATGATGGTCATTACAATGATCCAATGAAGAAAAATTGAAGGAGAATTGAATATTGGACGAAAACTGGAGTAGTTGATGCGCCTCTCTTCTCAAAACCTAAAATTTTCTTCTTAAAACACATTTTACCTTTTTATAGAAAAATTATGGGCCAAGCGTCATTCGCTCAAGCGAAAAATAGCAATTTTCGCTCAAGCGAGAATTTGCTCGCTTGAGTGATTGAATTCCTGAGAACTTTAACGTATTTTCGCTCAAATGATCGTCTACCCAGCTTGAACGAATCTTAGGCTGAAAATCTTCTTCCCTTTTTTCCAATTTTTCTTCAATTAACTTGAGAATTATGATCCTTGCTCTTGTACCCGGGTATTTTGTAAATTCATCATGCATTGAGAGAAAAATATATTAGAATCAACATAATTTAAGTGATTAAATAACAATTCAAAGCATAATTACATCAACTTTTGTCACTTAACACTAATCCTCACTCCCGCTGCCACCATCATCGCGTGATCCACCACATTCCCAACCAACCAACACCGCTAGGCCATAAAACCTAGTTGTGGTCCACCCCACATCCACTCCTCTCCATCTCACCTCCCTTGCACCCTCACCTCCTCGCCACAAGCCAAAACCACTATAGCTTCAACACTAACCTCCACCTCTGCGACCCCTAAAGTCACCACGACCCACTAAACTCTGACCACCCTAGTCATGCCCCCTCCCTAGTCCTACCTTAAAAACTTCGTCTTCCCTCACCATCAAAACCCTAACCACGCTATGGGCCACACCGGGGCCACCACATCCTCCCCCTAGCTGTGTCGCTCATCGCACCTAACCCTCACCCCTCCATCGCAGGCTATCGCCCCACGCTGCCACCATAAACCCCACCGTTAGTTACTCAGTGTGCTCGTCTCATCTCCCACGACTCACCCTATTAGGTTTAGGTCAAGATGAAGCTCAATTGAAATATGGGCCGAGAGAACGACAATGTGGGCTTAATTAAAAGATGCGTGACTCAAAATTGAGGGAGTGAAAATAACATAAAAAGTTTTAAATAGTAATTTAATTTTTTATTTATTTTTATGAATTGGTCTAATGTTTTTTTTGTTGAAAGTCCCACATCGTCTACCTCATGTCATTTTCCCCATGTCATTTTGTATGATTTAAATACATGTTAGGCTACTCCACATATTGCCAATTGGTTTTATGTTGAAACCTTAACATGGTATCAGAGCGAAAGCCTAACATCTTTTCGATTATTGTCATGGGCCAAAAGTTGCCCTTTAATTGGGTCAAAAGTACCATTTGCCTAGTCCGGCAGGCTTCGTTGGAGGGGGTGTGTTGAAAGTCCCACATCGCCTACCTCATGTCATTTGATATGATTTAAATACATGTTAGACTACTCCACATATTGCCAATTGGTTTTATGTTGGAACCTTAATATTTTTAAACTAAATAACATAACAAAACCAAGTTACAAATACTAATAAATCGAAAAAATTTATTATTATTATTATTACTATTAGTTTATCCAAATTTCGAATAAAAATTATTCTATTTTTTTCTTTCTTTTTTTTAAATGATTTAAATTAGTATATTATTATTAGTATATTGACAATTAAATTTTAATAATTATCACTTTCTTTTCTCAAGTGCTATTAAACATGTAATATTGTTATTATTAGAGTAGTAAAAAAAATATTCATAAAGGTTTAACCACTTTGAATGCACATCTAATTTGATTGTTATAAAAATATAATAATCACTTCAAATGTACTTTTGCCTTGATTATAACAAAGTATTTTAAAAAATATATACATTTTAAATCCAAATAAAAATTACAAGTAAGATAATTTAAACATTTAAATTATTTTGGATGCACTTTCGATTTAATTATTACGTAAACACGTTTAACTTGACAATACAAATAGATAAAATTAAAATAAATTATTCACAAATATTTGTAAAAAAGAATTACATTACTCGATTTTCCATTGCACTTGAGGATATGTAGGAGCGAAAACATAATCTCTATTGAGCCAAAAATATATAATTTTTTATTTTTAGTAGCAACCTTTAATAAATATATAAGTTTGATGGATAAAATATATTATTTTAAGATATTTAAATTTTTATGGCTAATTAAAGATAACTTTTTTAGAATGGATGTTATAGATTATTAATAACTTTCTTAGATATAATTGATTCTCCAACTCAACATTTATTTCAGTACTACTTCATTTTCTTCTTGAAGGTTTTTTTAAATATTTTTCTTAAAATAAATACTAATGACGACTTCATTATTTTTTTTATTTAGAAACCTAATTTTGCTGTTTAATCTTTATTACTATTGCGATAATTAATAAAATTAATTTTAATTTTAAATATAAATATATTAATAATTTGTTTATTTTAATGAATAATTTTTATTTTATAAAATAAAATAATTTAGAAAAATATGCTTTAAGTTCATTTAACTCGTCTTTTGAACAAAACGGATCAAAGTGATACAGTACAATGCAGATTATAATTTTTTTTTATATCACATATATTCAAAATTGTTATATAGATTCTTCTTTCTTCTGTAAATAATATTATTTCAAATTCACACACTTGATTAAGTTAACTTTTTTATAATAAAAAATAAAAAAACAACCCATTTTAAAAAAACAAATACAAGAATAAGAAATCAATTGGAAATTAAAATGGATTGAACACATAATAAAAATAGTGAAATAATTTAAGAACCTCCAAAATAAAAAGGAAATATAAATATAAATTAAAGTTCACAGTAGAAAATATAAGAGTAATTTAACTAGAATAGCGAAGTGTTGTTAAAAAAAAATGGAAGAATATTATACATCCATTCCAGGTCTTAAATAAATAGAGACAGTAAAGAGATTAGGTTGTGCTGTTTATTCTTTTCTGTTCGATTTCTCACTCTCTTTCACACACTCTCGTTCTCTCTCCTATTGCGGCTAGGGTTTTAGTTTCTTCATCCTTCTCTCTTTGATCTCCTTTGCGGCTCAGTTTCTGTGAAAATGGAGACCTTGCGAGCTTAGTAACAAGTAGTGGTCGAGGTTTTGTGTTTGGGAACGTACGGTGTCTTTTTGTGATTGGGAAGAACAAATTCTGAGAGATGGCAACCATGAATCCCTTTGATTTGTTGGGTGACGACGCTGAGGACCCTTCTCAGCTCATCGCCGCTGAGCAACTCAAGGCAGCGGCGGCGGCCACGGCGGCTCCCAAGAAGGCGGCGGCTCAGCAGAACAAACCGGCTCAGCTGCCCACCAAGCCTCCTCCTCCTGCTCAAGCCGGTGAGGTTTTCAACTCTTCAAAATTTAATATTTTGGGTTTTCTGATTTATTTTACATTTTTTTGCGAGATAGGTCGAAGGAGTGTTGAATGAGTTTATTTGATGATTGTCTCGAGTTATCTGTCGTTGCTGGTTTGTTATTCTTTGTCTCAATTGTTGGGTTGTTTGGTTAAATGTTTACACTTGCCGTTGATCATGATTTCTTTGTTGAGTGTGTTTGTTACGTGTATACCATTGTGAATTTTAGCCTGCTTGTCGAGCCGCGGTAGGTGATCCCAGATGACAACGGAATGACTAGATTGGTTTTGATTTGAAATAACTATAACTAGCTTTTTTATATTTGATAATTAAAATAGTTGTTTTTTTTTTTAAACATAAAAAACATATATCACACGCCTTAAATCAATCTCATTTATTACATGACAATGATATTAAGCGTGTTCATTGAGTTTTGATCCCAAGGTTTTGGATGCATAATGTATTGGAAGTTGTGGTGAATGTAATTTGATGTTAGTTTCGGTCCAAAACATTGTCTGTAATAACTCATGAATCAATTAGAATGTGTGACATTATTATGCATTTGTTTTCTTTTATTTGGAATTTGGATATGACATTGCCAAAAATTAACTGTTTAATGTTTGTTGAAATTTGTCCCTTGATGCTGAATTTTTATTGACTATCCTTATCTTTTTGAATATTCACACGGTTGCTGTTGCTTCAATCTTCCTGACAGTGAGAGAGTCCAGAAATGAGACTATTCGTGGAGGCCGTGGTGGCGGAAGAGGTGGTGGACGTGGATTTGGACGTGGTCGTGGGTTCAGTAGGGACTCTCCCAATGATGAGAATTCATTTCCTACCTCTGTAGCTCCTTACAATCAGGCTTCTTTTGAAGAAGGAGATGCTGGGAAGTCTTCTGAAAGGCGTGTCTATGGTGGACCGAGACCTCCTTACCGTGGAGGAGGTCGTCGCGGAGGTTTCAGCAATGGTGAAACTGGTGAAGGCGAAGAAGGACGCCCTCGGAGAGCATTTGATCGTCGCAGTGGGACTGGACGAGGGTGATGCTACCATTGATGATGATTTATTTGCTGAATTTATATTTCTATCAGTACTGATGTCCTTTGTCTATTTTGCAGAAATGAATTTAAACGTGAAGGTGCTGGACGTGGTAACTGGGGAACACAAACTGATGAAATTGATCAGTAAACCTTCCTCTCACAATTTTGTATTCAATTATTTTAATAATAATAATAACTTTTACTATTTCAACTTTTACCATTTCAATTGAAATTCTGTTGTAATTATTGCTCTTTATATTTTCTTCCTCTTGATTTATATTAGGGCAACTGATGAAGTCGCAAATGAAACTGAAAAGAATTTGGGAGATGAGAAGCATGCTCTTGAAGAAGTAGCTGATGGAAACAAGGACAGTCCTGTTAATGAAACTGAAGAGAAAGAACCTGAAGATAAGGTGAATGCCAAGTCTATTGTGTGTCACACCAATGAATTGAACTATTTAATTTTTATTGGTTAGTTGATTATAATTTCTTGTTTTTATTTTTGTGTTATATGATTATTATTCCAGTGTTTTTAAAGTTATCATGTGTATTTATTCTTTATTAATTAGAAAGAGCAAATAAAGTTTGATGTCATCTCCATTAAATGTCTTATTATATAGACTAATTGCTTACATATACACCCTTGATTGATTATCCATTATAGTTTCTGATGTGTACCTTTCTCTTTTAAGACCTTTGCTTTGTTTTTTTAGTGTTTTTTTATTTGAAATTTGTTGATGAGATGATGTTATGCTGTTAATTCTTTAGGAGATGACTCTAGAGGAATATGAGAAAGTCCTGGAAGAGAAAAGGAAGACCTTTCAAGCACCCAAGACTGAAGAGAGAAAGGTAGACACGAAAGTGTTTGAATCCATGCAACCCTTATCAAGCAAGAAAGACAAACACGACATATTCATTAAACTGGTGAATACATCTTTACCGTCGGCTTCCCCTCTAACTCACCACCTGTTCATATCATGTTGGTAATACCTGCTAATATGTTTTGTCACATTCTTCTTCTTTCTAGGGATCTGATAAAGATAAGCGAAAAGAGGCTTTGGAGAAGGAAGAAAAATCGAAGAAGGTTTGGCTTTATTGAATTTGTTTGTCTGTGGTACTCAATTTATATTTCCTAGTTTGTCATGCGTTTATGTGGCTTAGAATAAGGAAACCTATATTTTATGCTTTACTCATGTGTGCAGCTGCTTGCATGCGTGACCCAGGTGTATGTTATGTGCCTGCTTTTATGCATAACCCGTTATGTGTATGCTTGGACTCATGTTACTAAGAATAGTCAATATTGTCATCTGAGAAACTAGAATTATCTTAAAAGACATACTTTTTTTTTTTTTTTTTTTTTTTTGCCTTAACGAAGCATAGTAATTAAACTCTTCATTTGAAGAATCTTTCTTTGTCATCTACTTAATCTTTGTGAATTGACCGTCAATTTATTTTCCTTTTCTAATGTGTAATGAATAGTTTTTTTCCATGAACTTTGTTGATGTTCATTATCTTTTATTTTGCTGACTAAATCTTTTTTCATTTATTGGATTTCATATTCTTAGTCCGTTAGCATCACCGAATTCCTGAAGCCTGCTGAAGGAGAAACATACTATCCAGGCGGGCATGGCAGGGGCCGTGGCCGTGGCTCCCGTGGTGGTTACCGCGGAAGTACCACCAACAATGCACCTGCTCCATCCATCGAAGATCCTGGGCATTTCCCAACCTTGAGTGGCAAGTGAGGTTTCCCAGAAACGTATCCCTGTTCTATTTTCAATTATGATAATTGGATTTCCTGGATTAGATGGGTAATTTAATTTGATGTCTTAAAATGTAAATTTAGGTTGTTCTTCATACGGTCCTGTATCCCTTGTAGCCTGTATTCCCTGTAGCATGTTCTGCTTATGCTTTGCGTTAACTGTTTGGGGCATATGATGGGCATAAATGTTGTTGAGTTTCCTTTTCTTTCTAGACAGACATCTCAATTTTGCTTCAAATTTTGGTTTCTCATCTTTTATTCGAGTCAAACAAGAATAACTCCAAACATAAGTACTAGAATGCATTTTGTTTCTTTTGACTGTCTATCTCTTACCTGGTTATTTGCAAGTTAAAACAATTGATTGCAAACTTTTCAAAGGATAGAAAATCGAGGAATTAAAATATAGATTGCAAAATGTGTTACTTGTGGTGTTTGCATTCTTATGAGACAAGGCTCTGATCTGGTGTGGCGCACGTATTGAACAGTGAATGTTCCAAATTTGTTTTGCCTTTGCGATTAGCGGAGTATTCCCAGTGTACGATGATGTTTTTAAAATAATCTTCATAAACACCTAAATAATTTTTATAATCTTTTATACTAATTTTCAATAGTTATTACCCCTATTCGGTAGAAAAAGGTCACAAATTTTAAAATGTATGAGGGTTTTTGAATTAGATAACTTAGCGAATATTTCCCCCGTGTCCGATAATGTTTGTAGCTTTAATCGTTCAAGTCGACTTAATATTTAGTTTAAAGCTCAATTTGGGTTTTTGAATTTGATAACATCTTTCAATTTGTTCAATAAATTTTATAAACAGAACGATTTAATCTAATTTGTGATATTTGTGGTTGACAAGTACTCAAATTACAGGTTTACTGTATCTACTTTCAAGTCAATGGATAACAAATAAAATTGTATAACTTACTTTAATATATTTTTTAGTATCAACTATCTTACTATAATATTATAAATTTTATATTTTAATATAATTATGATGATGATAGTAATACGATACCAATAACTACCTAGATTGTGGTGGCGATAATGAAAGTTTTGATGAGTATGACAATGATAAAATCTATATAATATGGAAATGTTTTGAATGTGATAAAAATATCTGCAACATCATTTGGAGCATATTTGATGAAAGTAATTAAAATTTATTTTATTTATAGTTTTGATGTTTTGTTGTTTTAATATTCATGAAATAATAATTGATTAGTTTTGTATCTATAAGTTTTGAATAAATAAAAATTTACCCAAAATTTGGTCATAAGTTTTTATTGTGAATACATTTGAAAATATATTTGATGTGATATTTTACAAAATCAATAAACCTATTATGCAAAATTGTTTACAAATAAGATTATACTTTTCCGCAAATACCCATAAACAAATTTATTACTTGAAAGTGATGACATGAAACAATTCCATGGCTTACACATTAATATAAGTACTTTCTCCATTATGCCTTATGGTAGAATATGTTGATGAATAACTTGATTGGGTGATGGTGATATGCTGTTTTGAAACTGTTTTTCTTTATTGACATGACATTATTATTGATATTTGCTTTAAATAGTCCTCTTAGTCTTTACGTGTAAAGAAACATCTATAGAAAGAAGTAAAATCCTTAAACTGATATTTTGAGGAATTATTCTTCCACTTTCTACCTCTTGCAAAGGACAAATAAATAAATGGACATGGTTTATTGGTCGAACTTACATCTAGAAATGGAAAAGAGAACCAACTTACTGCTTCCCTTGTTCTTAAAGGGTTACCGAATAATAAATTCGTTTCGGTCCATGGAATCAATGTTTATACGTTTGTTAAATATAATTGATTAGTATAATAAGTGATAATGAATCTAGTTCACCTTTTAATGAATTTCAAATAACGATTTCAGTACAGAGCACTCTTTAAATAACATTTAAAAATTTAGCATAAATATATTGTTTGGTTCTATTACAAAACACACTTAGTATAAATGTTAAAATATATAAAACTTAATTAATTTCTAATTGAATGAGCGCAAAAATAGATGTAATTCTATCCGACAGGCACATTTTGTGTCAATAAAACATACGTAATAGTCCCAAATGGTTGAGTAGGAATATATATACTTCGCAGTAGGAAAATATATACTTTGCACAAGCCACATCATTAAGTATATTCAAAGAATGGGGTCATCTAGGTCAGTTTCAAACCAACAAACAAATTCCGACATTGATCCACTACTTAGTGAAATTAAAAAAAATCTTACATAAAACCAAAATAAAATGGATCTGAATAACTAGTGGTTAGGAAGAGCAGCATCCACCTTTCTGTGCAACTGGTTGTCCCCTGATCTGCACTGTTGGAGGTCTTGCATTATTTGCAGGTTGGCTTGCCATTCTACATTCACAAGAAAGAAAGTTACCATGGGATTAGCTTGCAACAAATAGTTGCCAAACAAGAAAGAGTATATGAATATGATCTATATAGATAACTGTTTATACTTAAATCATCATTAAGAAATTAGAGGGAAGGTAAAGAATAGAATATATCTAGTTACATCCCATAATTTGTGCATTGTGTTTTGTTCATCTACTTTTTCCATAAGCTATTTAAAGTAAGAAAGAAAAAACAAAATCAAATTTCCATGTGATGAAATGGCTTCACCATTTAATTACAGGCCGATGAGCATAGCCATCATATAGCTGAATGAGAAAAGTCAGGTTACTCAACCAAAGGTTGCCAAGCTTATGTCTGGCCTTCACCTGGATGAGAAAAGTCAGAATACATTGAAGGGACCTTCTTGCTCCTTGGGGGGATACTCTTTAGTTTAAACTAGTACAATGACTCTTTTACTGGGAAAAGACAGTTATGAGATATTTACATAGGAGACTTTAAAAGAGAGAATCTTGTTATGTGCAAGTTGTTTTATAGACGGAAAAGGGACGGCCAATGGAATTTGGATTACAGAATTATTAACTAGGGTCAAGTGGCCATGGCTTTTTGCCTTAGAAAACATCCTTACAACACCAAGTTACTCAGTAGGAGCAAGTGCAAGCATGGCTTAGATTGGAATGGTTAGGATACCAACATAGTGAGATGCCATGCCACCCATGCTAGCCTCTGAATGTTCATCTTAGTATAATGACCTCCAGGATTTTCACCTTACCAAAATATTATGACATTCGAGTACTAAATCCCTTTGTCTCTACCAGAGCTTATTCACTTATCAGTAAATTTCAAGCTTTTAGAAAACTTTTAACACAAGCTTGGACTCCAGAGATAGGCATCACAAAATTATATTTTTTTTGAAAAATCTTTGCAATGTGTGCCACTTGATTTCACAAATCAACAGCATAAAAAGAGTCAAGTACCCATATGTTTGCTTATATTTTAGACTGTAACAAATAAAAAGACAAGAAAAATAAAATAAAATTGACATTTGTAGCTCTTGACAATTAACGTTTCTCAGCTATAGAAACTTGCTTCAGATGCACTTGAGATATAAAGATTATGAGCTATTCATTAGAGTAAATAGGCAAAATTATTTCCTAGGCTTGCTCCCAAGGCCACCAAGTTGCACTAAAATTTTTGTAATGTTCTGGAATATCCACTGTTAAGTTAGAAACAGGAATGTATACCTATTCTTGATTGAAGCAGACATTGCCATGAAGGCTTGTTCAACGTTTGTAGCATCTTTGGCACTTGTTTCCATAAAAGGTATGCCTATTTCATCTGCAAATGCCTGTAGATGAAAATATAAAGGAAGGGTAAGGGTAGCTGAAAAAGTATATAAGAGTAATAAGTTAATAACTTGACAACAGCAATATGTGTGAACAAACTCTTGAAACTGAATCTGGAAAAAATTAGGAGTTGAAGGGTGTGGTGCATCAAAGCCATACTTTGGCGGTATCATATGACACAGCTCTATTTGCCAGATCACACTTGTTGCCAACCAAAAGCTTGTTCACATTATCACTTGCATAGCGGTCAATTTCACTGAGCCATTGCTTCACATTATTAAAACTGTCTTCATCTGTCACATCATAAACAATCTGCCAGAGGAACCAGTCAGTAAAGCATGCAATTCAAGGATCCATTCCACCTAGAAAGGGGAAATCAATATCTAAAAGCACATGCCAAGAAAATCATCACCCACAATGATCCCATGGGCTCCACGGTAGTAACTACTGGTGATTGTCCTAAATCGTTCTTGTCCAGCTGTGTCCCACTACATATAAAACAGATCACAAATTAAGAGAGAAACATGACTACTTAAAGCAAAAATATTTGTCCAAAAAAATGATTAAAAATGATAGGTCAAGCTCACTGAAGACTTAATATCAATAGATAAAGGACAAAGCCAATCAGACACATACTATCTGGAGTTTGATGGTCTTTCCATCCTGCTCAACTGTACGTATTTTCTACACAATTTGACATGAAATGATTAGTTTAGACAATGCTTTAAACAGTTCAAGCTAAAAATTTGTACACTTGTACTCACAAAATCAACTCCAATGGTGCTGATGTAGCTCTCTATGTATGAATCATCCTGTAGCATAATATAGAAATTATTGTATAGTTAATCCAAATTACAGCATTAAGCCACAATTTACCATCTTGAAGTACTGAGGTCAACCATCATGCAGAGTGAAGCTACTAAGTTAAAAAGTGAGATGACTATCACAATATCTAGAAAGTAGACTTAATGAAAAATATTTCATGTCATTAGCTGTATGCTTCTTTTTTGACCAGTTTAGTGAAATTCACATAATCTTTTAATGAACCAAAACAGGTTAACAATTCCACTTTCCACCCTTAATAACTCTTTCTTAAATAACTGCATGTATGGACCAATTAAATGATAAATCATAAAAATTTGCAATCATTCCAAATATGGGAAAAATTACGTTTCTACACACAAAGGAAGTAAAGGCTAGTTCACCAATTCATTATTTCACTTTTTCTTTTTGGTATTATAGAGCTCCAACACAACTAAAACCTCAAAAAAGGAATTAGCTATCACTTATAAAGATGTTGTAGTTACCGATTACCATATTTAATTACAGCAAACACAAAGGATGATATTATTCTTTAGGACAAGAGATGTAACCAAGAGGGTAGTAGTAACAATAATAACTAGTATACAAAGGGTTGAACGCTTACAGCAAATCTCAGAAGAAGACATGATTTACCAACACCAGAGTCTCCAATAAGAAGGAGCTTGAAGAGATAATCACTGCAAAGAATAGCCACATCATATTAATTTTGTCTCCTATAATAGACTGTGCATCAGATTCAGAAGCAGACATTTCTCTTTCTCCCATTTAGATATCAGTTAAATTGAAAACCAATCATAACATATCAGATTCATCAAGATCTATAACCAATATAACATAAGGCATCATTATCTTTTTCTCTTATTGCTTTATGGAATAAGTAGAATAGCTCAACTCTAAGCACCAAAGCCAAATCCCATACTTCCAATGTAAGAAGTGAACTCCCATATCAATCTAACAGCTAACAACCTTGTAGACAACCTCGCATGTTTTCTCTTATCTCACATGTTTAACATAGTCGATGATTCTCCCAATGAGCTGCCACTCAAATCAAACTACCATACAGTATTTGCAGTTCAATTTTCAATTCAATTTATGATTAGAGGTATTGATAGGGATAAAGGAAGAATGAAACCATACAAACAGAAATGACCCTTTGAAATCAGCAGGGGACAAGATCACAATAACTCTGCACTTCAAATCAATCATAAAATCACAAATACAGTGATCACAACAATCAAATAGAACCCACGATTGAAAAATCGTTTTTTTTTCATGGTCCTAAAAATAAAAAGATAAAAATACCAATCGGATCAAAATTAATTACATCACATCAATCTAGGGTTATACAACAACAACAATCTATGCTAACAGAACCAAACCCATATTCTCCAATTTAACTGCCACCCCACATACTCTTTCGGCATGAAACACAAAAGAAGCGAAAAACAAATGAACTTAGTTGAAATCAGACATGATTAGAAGGAAAAGGGAACAGAAGAATAGTACTAGTCGGGATTCATTTCGAGTGAAAAAAGTGGGAACCGCCGGAGATCAAGGAGATGTCGCCAGAGATAGGTCCTCCGAGGATGTTTCACCTGGGAATTTCAGAAGAAATGGAAATACAGAGGAATCGAAATCTGAAGACAACCTCCCCGGTTTTGCTTGCTTTGCTTCCTTTCTTTTTAATGATAACGTGTGGAAACTCACATATACGGTGACGTATTGTATATGTATTGGGAAAGATAGTAGTGATAGTGTAAAATACCAATATCAATTAAATTAACCCACCTGTATCCTATTTATTTAGTTAGAAGAATTTTTAAGTTTCTTGGAAACATGAACATTGGATATGTTTTTTTGGGATTAAAATAAAAGTGACTTATTTTTAAGTAATTTTAATATAAATTTTGTGAATTTAAAGTAATAATATTTAAAAACTTTGAGTATTTTAAAAATTATTTTTAATTTGTTTTAAAAATATAATATTTATATAACTCCTTATGATGTTTTATATATTTACACGTAATTATTAACGTATTTGATAAATTATTTATAAATATTCTAATTAATAGAAAAAATATACTTTAATTCATATTTTTAGCCAGTATTTCAACACAATGAACTAGTTAAATATAATACTAAATTGTTAAATAAATAAGCATATATTTTATTTAAATATAATAATTATTAATAAAATGAAATACTTTACTTATTTTTTTTAAATATTCTTATTCAAATATTTAAACTCTTGTAATCGCTTCTTTAAAAAATGTATAATTTTTTAAGAATTTTGCATATGATAGTATTCTTTTGAATTAATTTTTAATTAACACTTCTACATATTTATTTTTGTATCTTATTTATTTCTGAACATCTGGTTTAATTAATATTTTTATTTATTGAAAAATGACATAAAAAAAACACACACACAAGATTTTTAAACTTCATAATGATATCTTTTAATGTGACTTTGACTATATCAACAATGGTGGGAATTGATTTTAGAAGTAAAGAATCAATAGATTGACTCTTCATTAGAAAAAATAAAACCAAATACATGTTATGAGATAGTTTATAAATGAAATTAACCTTGATGCGAAAAATATAACAAAATAGAAAATGGTGGGAGAAATCATTCATATACGTTTTACCAGTAATTAACACTGTCATGAAAAGATGTTAGGTGCTTTATTCTAATTGTATGTAAATTCCTTTTCCACAAGGCTGACTCAGAATTTGTGTGACTTATAATAGACTCTGGAAAATACCTTTCGATACATGATCATAAGAGACCATTTAATTTAGTTTGATCACATCCCTAGAAAAGAATTGTAAAAGGCTTTTAATTTCTTTTGGCGCAGATACGACCACTAACACAAACTTAACTTGTTATTTTTGTGTATGTATTTGAAAGACAATATAATTTTTGTGTATATATTTGAAAGAAATTATATATATATATATATAAGATAATATAATTTTAATATTGATAAAAAATAATAAATAAGTTGTTAAACTAATACATTATAATTAATCGGTATTAAATCTCACAAAGACATAATTATAGGAACATTCTTATTATCACATGTCAGTTTCTTTAAAAACAATAAATAATCATAAATAAGGAATGAACGAAAGATTGAAAAATAAATTTATGCAAAATAATAAAAATTAAATGAAATTAGAATTTAAATAATTGAAATTTATAAAATTAAAATAAAATACTTTTAATTAAAAGTATAAGAATTAAGAATTAATTTAAAATAAAATAGTGTAATAAAATTGATGTAGAATTTAAATAGATGAAATTTATAAAATTAAAATAAAGTGCTTTTAATAAAAAGTTTAACAATAAAAATTGTTTTAAAATAAAATAGCAGTGAATAAAATTAAATTGAAGTAAAATTTAAATAATTGAAATTGATAAAGTTAAAATAAAATATTTTTAACTAAAAGTGTAAGAATAAAAAATCATTTTAAAATAAAATAGTGCAAGTAATTAAATCTAAAATTTTTGGAAACGATCATTCTAAAACTAAATTTAGAATTGAAATTAGAAAAAAGATGAATTGAAAATGAAAATTAAGTAGTACTAGAATAAAATAAAAATTCTAAACAATTAAATAGCATAAATTAAAATGAACACTAAATGAATAAAGTAAATAAAACAATATAAATTGAAAATTTCAATAGAAATTGCAAATTATATAAAAGAGAACAAATCGGAAGTGCAGTAGCAGTAGATGAGTTCGCCTAACTAAAAGCTAAACTAAAAACTGAGAACAAAAAAGAAAACGGGGCGACACAAAACAACAGTTCTCACCTTAGAGTAGGAGATTCTGATTCTGTTGTCATAAGGCCTTTATGTATAGGAGATTAAACAAGAAAAATTAAGTCTAAAATTAATTACAATAAAATCAAATATTTCCCAAATAAACAGTTGCAAAATTGGATTGCTATGAAGAGAAATTTTTGGGACTGATTTTGGGAGAATAATATGTTTATTTTCTATTTTGAGTGATCCAACACTGATTTGTATTTAATTCATGATTCCTACTGGCCTTTAATTCAGCTAAATTGGATTCCCACACCAATTAATTTGTTTGATTTAAAATTTCTATTTGTAACGTTCTACAAATGGGCTGCACAAACAAACTTGGACTTCCGAAAAGAGTAAAACGTGACAACATCAATTTGACACATATCAAATTATCTCTCCTACAAAAGAAAAAGAAATATGCACTGTGAATTTATACATGTATATTATTTATTATGCTAAAACTATGCGACATTCAACAAATTAAGAGAAATTGAATTATGTTATGCTTTTGATGAAAACATGTTAAATGCATGGTTTATGAACTAAATAATTAGCTTAGAAAATACTTTTAGATCAAGAAATAAAGAGTAAAATGACATACATCACGCACCAGTTAATTTGCTTGATTTAAAATTTCTATTTGTAACATTATGCAAGTAGATTACAAAAGCAAACTTTGACTTCCGAGAAGTGTGAAGCTTGACAACATCAATTTGGACATTTCTTTCCATCAATTTGACCCATCTCAAATTACTTCTCCTATAAAGAAGAAACAAAAAAAAGATACACTGTGGATATATGAATGTGTATTATTTATTATGTTAAAACTACACAAAATGCAACAAATTAAGAAAAATTGAATTATGTTATGCTTTTAATGAAAACATATTAAATGCATGGTTTATGAAGAAAGAAAATGCTCTTAGATTAAGAAATAAAGAGTAAAATGACCTACATCAAATACTCTCCACTTTTGCTCTTTTGCACTTCCAACGAAAAAATAAAAGGAAGAAAATAAGAAAGAAAAGAAAAAAATGCATGCAATGCAAAGATGTATATTGTTGCAAACATTAGTGACATCTTGAAAACTATAATAGTCAAGAAAAACTTCATCAACCAAAAGTGAGAGAATAAAAAAGATCAAGATCATAACTTACAAAGTATTATCATGATCAAATACTCTTTAAGGGTTCCAAAACTCATTTCAAGGGAACATCCTCTCATAATAAAGTGTTTGCTCTAATATCTCAAGTATTTATGCTGAAAATTCCACTCATCATCAAATCATGACATCATCATTTACCATAGGCTTGAAAAATCTCTAAATTTTTATCATTAGAACACATACCTCTGCAGATCAATAGGACTTTTACTTGACTTGTAATGTGGCTAGGGTTAAAGGTAGATTATTTCAGGAAAGTGGGCTAAGATTTTAGGAAAAATAAAGAACATGGATCAATGTACCTTGAAGCTTTATTCCAGTTGCGTCTTTATGTTTTGTCACCTTTATGTTAGAGTGTCTTTCGAGCTCTTTTATTGCTTTGGCACACACAAACAAAATGATATTTTTTTTAACTTTCTTTCTTTTTTTTTTCTTGATATTTTGACACTTCTCCTTTTCTTAGAATTGTAGACGATGAGTAGAACTGAATTTTTATGATGATTCCACACTCCTTACTTTCGTTTAAGTCTGGGTGTGGGTAGTTTTGGATTGGAAAGACTTTAAATCTCGGGTTTAAATTCAAGAAAAGGTTAAGGCTAAAAGGTGGATTCAAAGGGTAATTTGAGGTAAGGGTAGGCTATTTGACTAAGTAGCGAAGAAAAAAAAAAAGCCTAAATAATTTCTATTAGTGTATAAGCTCGTTTGGTGTCACATAAAAATCAATCAAGTTCTGGACGATTCTCATGTCATGAGTGGCGCACACAAGAAGGAATAAGGCTCAAAACTCACTTGGGTGCTTTGTTCATCCTGAAATTAATTCAAACCATTGTTAATGTAACCTGACCATGACTTCCTATGTGAATCAAACCTTTTAAACTTTGAACTCTTTCTCCTAATCAAGTCGGTCATCTTTTCCAAAGTAGTCTCCCATCAATCTACAACATTACACAACAGTCAAAACAAAAAATATGAATGAAATCTCATGTATGAAATGCAAATACTCCCCACTTCTGAAATCAACATTGTCCTCATTGTGGATAACTTATGTTATGCAAATACAAATGAAAACCAACTAAAACAGCTTGGGTCTTGGGTCTTTCTTCTCATATGGTACAAGTGTCCAGGTCATCAAGTAGTAACTCAGTTAAGCTAAAACAAACACAGAGTGTTCTTTTGCAGGAAGCTGAAAAGAGGCAATGTCACATTGTTGAAGTCTCGAATGACTTAACAAATGTTGATTGCTTGAAGATGATTATCAATATTGAAATATCTAAATGAAGTGATTGAATGAGATAAACACTTATCCGTGATAGTTAGAGATGATTATATATCACTCTATTTGAGAGATCATGCTTCTCTAAGGATAGTTGATAATTAATTATCCTTTGTTTGTTTCTGTAACTTTAATGCTTATGTATCCTATTTTTATTTGGAGTTATGAGCATCACATATGGAAGAAAAATTATTTTTTTGTTGAGGTTCTGGAAGAGAAAGTGATAATAGATGATAATTTTGTTTTGGAAAAAGTACTTTGCTTGGGGACAAACAAGATTCTAGGTTGTGGGGAGTTGTTAAGTGACAAAAGTTGATAAAATTATGCTTTGAATTATTATTTAACCACTTAAATTATGTTAATTTTAATCTATTTTTCTCCCAATGTAGGATGAATTTACAGAGTACCTGGGTACAAGAGCAAGAATCATAATTCTCAAGTTAATTGAAGAAAAATTGGAAAAAGGAAGAAGATTTTCAGCCTAAGATTCACTCGAGCGGGATAAACTCTCGCTTGAGTGAAAATACGTTCAACCTTTCTAGAAGTCAGTCGTTTGAGCAAGGTAGACGCTCGCTTGAGCGAAAATACGTTAAATCTCTCTGAAAGTCAGTCGCTCAAGCGAGCAAATTCTCGCTTGAGTGAAAATCATTAATACTCACTTGAGCGAAAGTATCTGCTTGAACGAATAACACAAAAATTTTCTATAAATAGATCTGATGTGTTTTGATAAAAGGGGGGGAATTTTTTATGGTTTTAAGAAGAAAGGTGCGACAACTGATCGAATTTTTGTCCAATCTTCAATTCATCTTGAATTCTTCTTCATTTGATCATTGTAATGACCATCATGAGTGACTAACTTCATTCTCTTAGGATTGAGTGCACTTCCTTTGAACTCTTTTGTATCTTGGTGATATTTTGCAATATTAATCTATGTTCTTGATGTTGTTATTCTTATCCTTTGTGCCTTTGAATGTTACTCTTGATGTTTGGGATATGATTGGAAAATATATCTTGAACCCTAGATCATGGTAAGAATATTTGTTACGTTAATTGCCAGGAATGGAATGAATGTATCAATTACTTAACACCTTAAACCTAATACTGGAAAATCTATTAAATGTATGAGGAATCGACGTTTGTTAGGTTTTCTTATGAATTTTATGTGCGATGAATCAATGTGAATGATTTAAGTAAGTGACATCAACATTGATAGGTTAATTGATGTTCTTAATTTGACCTAACCATTATGCAAAAGAGGAAAAAGAATTAAACCAATCCTAAGTTGTTTTATTTAATATTTTCTAAAAACATTTTACAGTTCTTTATCATTTATTTTCAACCCAAATCTTTATGAAAAACCCAATTTGCTTTAATCCACTTAGTAAGCATATGATTTGGAATTTCTAGTGAAACCGTTCCTCATGGGATCAACTTTTATTTAATTGAAATACTATACTACGATTGATAATTTTGGTACGCTTGCCAATTA